ATCCACTTTAATGTCTTTCTAATGTCTTTAATGTCTTATATAGCAATGTTATTGATGGATTTGCAGAATTTTCTAACATTGAAGATCTGGGTTTGATCTCATGCAAGGAGGTGTTATTTCATCCGGGTGGATGAAATATAAGCTATAGTTACTGATTTCCAAAATGTTATTTCTAATTGAAATATTCCACAGCTTGGCTTCAGAACTGCCCTTTTAGTAGCTTAGAGTTTTTCTAAGCCAGCTTATTGAATCCTGTCCTAGGTCTCCAGTTGTCATCTATGTCACAGAGGACTGGCTTTATTGTGTAGAGAGCTAAGCTTGTTCTTTCATACTTGTGGTTTATCAGCAATTTGTGTAGAACTCCTTATCCTCTTCCTTTTTCTTAGAATGTCTTAGTGCTTAAACAAATAAAAGTAAAAAAGAAAGAAAGAAAAACAGAGAGAGAACAATAAAAGAAAGAAAGCGCACCACCACATTATTTCATTAGATAGCAATATGTGTAGTTCAGGACTAGTTGTAGTAGTTTAGATTGTAGACAGGCTACTGCAGACTGTAGTTTTAGCCAACTTCCTGACTTGTTGAGAAGTATTCATTGTTCTTGAGAAGTATTCATAGCATATACTGTATATTTGTAGCTATCATAAAACATGGTGCTGTAATGGTTTATTGGACAGAAATTATACAGGCTATATAAGTAATGCAGCCTTGTAGAATTCTCAGAACATTGTGAAGAAATAGCTTAATCTTGTAAAAGATCATCCTGCCTGTTTAAAGACAGTGTGAATTAATCTCTGGTTTTCTTATATACCATTTACAGGATCATTGAAGAACATAAATCTCTGCCTGTTTATAAGCAGGTCAAAGCTTGAAAAAGCTCTGAATGTCAGTATTGTTGTTTGCCTCCCAGAATATTTTTCTGGAGAGCTATTTTATCTTCTGATTCAAATTGATACTCTCATTATGACAGATTTACAGTAAGTATTGTTTAGGACTTCATTGACTTTAATGTAATGTTCGAAGTCAGTAAAACCCTTCCTTAGGTTGCTGCAGTTTTAAGACAAAAAAACAGCATAAACTAAATGCTTGGTTTTCATATTTTAATAGCTTCTTATTTGAATTTCTGGTTTTAATCACTGAAACTTGATGTACTCTAAGAATAACATAAAATATTGATAGTAATGTTTGATTTTTTTTTTTTTACAATCTCTATAGGACATGTTTATGGATGTAAAGGGGTTATTTTTCTTTGTATGTGAGGGAAGAAAACAATGTAAGTGAGACAAGGTCACAGTTTGTTTCATATTCTTAAATGAGAAACATGGAAAGTTGTACATGGTATAAGATGCACAATAATAATAAATACTGAATAATAATACAGAGGACATAAAGTGATGCAAAGACAATCACTCAATATATAGCACTGTGTCTTCAAGCAGTGGCCACTTTGAAAGACAATCCTTGTTCTCTCCAGCCCCCTTCTTGCTCTACCACCAATTTTCTTGCTGAGCAGGATGTTACAGGTGTGGAATATGTCTTTGGCCACTTGGGGTCGATTGCCTTGCCTTCCCTCTCAACTCCTTGGCCATCCCCATTCTTCTTACTGGGAGCAAAGTGGGGGAAAAATGATAGAGGCTTGACACTCTGGAAGAACAGTTCAGCAATAACCAAAGCTCTGGTGTGTTATGAGCACTGTTTTAGCCAAAAATGCACAATATTATGCCAGCTGCCATGATGAAAGAAAACCTCCATCCCACTCAGTCCTAGTACCAAACCTGACACATTTTTTCAGTACTGGCATAGTTCATTCAAGTCTATTTTTGCACTTGAATAAAATCAAATCACACCAAAAGGATAATCTGAGTTTTATTTGCCTGGAAAACCTAAACTTTATGGAGTTTATTTGGGAAATAAGCAGAAGGACCTTCCTGTGATCAATTTTTTAATATTAATAACTTTTTAACCAAGTTGTGTTAGTTTTGAAGACCCTCGAATTTTTCTCTTTAACAGCATAGTTTTAACCCAATGAAACAAGAAAAGCCTCTTATTCCAATGTCTGTTTAAACTTGATGGAAGGGTTATTGATGAAAAAAACATACTGGGAAGTGTTACGGGGCTTGCAAGGGTTTCAGGGTGAAGAGAGACGAGAATGTTGACTTCATGTTCAGTAGGCTTGATTTATTATTTTATGATGTATATTACATTATAACTATACTAAAAGAAATAGAAGAGAAAGCTCTCAGAAGGCTAGCTAAGCTAAGAATAGAAAAGGAATGAATAACAAAGTTCTGTGCCTCGGCAGAAAGTGAGAACAGCTCTGCCGTGAGTGGTCAGTAAATCCAAACATCTACAGGAGACCAATCACGGATCCACCTGCTGCATTCCACAGCAGCAGATAACCATTGTTTACATTTGTTGCTGAGGCCACAACTTCTCAGAAGGGAGAAAAATCCTAAAGAAAGGATTTTTCACAAAAGATGACTGTGACAGGGAAGTAACTTTTTAGTGGGGTCATCTTCGTTAAGCATGTTGTAGTAGTACACGTCTGACTATATTCGGTATTTTACTATTCAGACTTATTTCACGTCAGTCATTACACACCTCAGGAATTATCTGGAAGATTATTGTGTTTATCAAGGAATTGAGGTTGCTGTCACCCTATTCCAGTTTGATAGCACCATTTGTGACTTAGACTCCAGAATGTAGTATTTGTCTTTTTGTCTTGAATCATGTAATTTTACTGAAGTTAGTGCTTCTGTCTGTGCAGAGCCTGTCTGCTTTCTATCTGTTGGATTCTGCTGAAGGACTAAAGAATGAGTACCTAGAAAAGTCACTTAGAAAAATGAAAGCTCTTATGGACACAGTAGGCTCTATCAATACTTTATTTCTGAGATCCTGACAGTTTAATCTTTCTGTGCGATTTAACTTCCTGCTGCTGAAAGTAAGCAGAGAAAATATGATAAGTATCAAAATGTAGTGAATGAATTGATTTTGTGCTTTAGGTCTCTGTCAGTAACATAAGAACAGTACCACCATATAAAGTTACTGAAAGTATTTTGAAAATTAATTAATAGTTGTGAGGAATGATATTACTTCAGTAATAAACACTTATATGAACAGAAGTCTAGAAGAATACTGACAGTACAGTCTTCACAGCAGAGTTTTAACAGAGTGCAATAAATGAGGAGCAAAAACAATGATAACGTGAAAGCAAAATAGTGACTAGCTGCTGATTGAAGTTTGTGCCAATTCTATATGCAATAAGCTGAGATTCAGGAGGGTAAATATCACATATAAATATATAATTTTATCCTAAACATATTTGTAAGATAGAGCAGATGGAATGGAAGCTTCTTAGGTAACTTTAATTTCAACATTTCTAGTTTTCTGAAAACTTGAATTTCCATTTTTGTGTATTTTTTGTTTATTTTTTACTTCCTCCTTTTCCCTCCTTCCCTATTTTTCTTGTAAATATAGTTTATGTGTGTCAGTTAGAAACATTCCACAGAAGCAGATAAAATTAAATATTGAATTTGCCTTTTCATTTAGAAAACATGTTTATATCCAAATCAATAAATCAAAAAAATACCTAATTCTTGTTGAGTGTTTATTCACTGACAAAAACGACAGCATGCTTGTTGTATTTTCCCAGGTTATCCTTCACTAGTAAAATTTTACATTCTATTACTATAGGATTGATCAAATAAAGACTTAATTTTTTGTTAATGCAGATTGCACATTTCTCTATTTCTAATTTCTTTATTTCCCTCTAATTTTCTCTATTATTTTCCCTCTTTATTTTCTCTAATTTCTTTATTTCCCTTTCAAAAACAGGTATCACTGTTTCCTTTTGCACTTTTTGTTAGAAAGCCCACAAATACCTGAAATTTTCCATGTGAAAATATTTGTATAAACGTTACTTGACTTGAGATAAATACTTTAAAATATATCCTCACTTTCTGAAGAAGCATTATTTGACAATTCAGCTATGGCAGCCGAGGATTGTTACCCAGCTGCTTACCCAGTAGGCAGAGGTTTCTTGTCTCACGCTTCAGCCAGCAGAGCAAAGGTGCAAGTTCTTATTGTTCCAGTAGACCAGAGTCAGCAATGGCTTTGAGAGATGTAATTAATGGTTAGATTAAATGTGCTTATTCTGCACTCCAGTGGATCAAGTTAAATTCCACTGACTCTACAGTGAAGAGTTACTCTTCTATCAGGAACATAGTAACAAGATTCTCAGGATAAAAAAATCTTGGCTTTCTATTGCTGTGCAAAATAATTTTGTCTCTTGAGTATAAAGCATGTTTCATTGTTTTTTTTCCTGTAAGAGTGCAGCTGAAGCCTTATAATGCCACTTTTCTGTGCTTATATTTTATTGAACATTGAATTTTGTGGTTTACTTGTTTCATCCAGACCTTTACAATGGCGCCTTTCCTATTTCTATTCTGACAAAAAACCACAAACAATCAAAATTACCATTTTTGAAGTTGTTAATGAGCAATATGCTTTTAGTAGTGATGAGCACCCACTAAAATTTGTTTTCTCTCTCCCTACATGATATTTTTCTATGTATTTTAATCACCGGGAAAAGCAAAAACACTGGATTCAAGCTATAAATTGCTTTAAATGTAAAAAATGTTACATATATATAGAGAAAATAGGTTTTTTTTATTGATCAATTATAAAATTACATTCAGCAATTGTAATATTTTCACCCTGTACAGGGAATAATGGTGATCTACAGTTTTACCCTGGTACTAGGTTCATCCAAGAAATAAAGTATGCAGGTCACCATCAGGTTGCACAGTTAAATAATTCAGCCCTAGGTTAAGCTCTGGCTATAAATGTGCTCATCTACCTCCTGCCCAAGATCATGAGAAGAGCTGGGGACAGTGGGAGAGCACTCATTATTTTTAGGGGTTAAGCCAACTACCATCTTCTTTTTAGGTTATTCTGGATAAGGTTATTTCCTAAAGTGAATATATATATATTATTGATTGTAGGATGGAATGGGAAATTTGAGAGTCACTAAAAAAGGAATACGACTTGAAGGAATATCTGAATTTCTACTTCCACTATATGTGAAAGAAATCCATTCCCGAAAGGTAGGTATTTTTCATCTTTATTTCTTAATTTGCAGCTAATATAAATTGATCTCTTCAGTCTCAAACTACAAAGTTTAATTCTTACACCTCCTAGATTGGCAATCAGTAGAGGTTTGCTTTGAGAATATCTTAACAGTGAAAGCTTCCTTCATGTCATTTTTTTTTTCTGAAACCTTGCTTGCTTCTTAAAAGAAATGTTTTATCCCAAAGAAAGGAGATTCAAAGCATGTATATTTTATACTTCAAATGACCTCAGAAATGGGAATGGAACATTTGACTCTCAGTTGTTATAAAGTCCAGGAAAGAAAGAGTGGTGATAAGTTCAAAATGCAATGAAATAAGGAATGGTTTTGTTCTTTTTATCACTAGCTATCATGACTTCTTTTTCTTTTTCATTATTTTTTAAATTTTTTGTTTGGGTTAATTTTGCTCATTAGATAGAGGAAATCCTGCTATACTGTGTAATGTCTCTAGGATTTAATTTTTCAAAGCAAACCCTTTTAAATGCTGTTTAAATGAAATTATCATATATCAGGTTATTACAGAGAAAAAAAGAAAAGCAATAAATTTTGTACTATGAAATTTAGTATAGGTCATTTTGACTCTTTTGGTTTTATTCAGTTATGCTGTTTATATTAACATTGTCAATGAATTTTTAAAAATATTGAAATGCTGAAGAAATAATCTTTTTTCCATGGGAATGATTACCTATGATCTGAGTAGAATGTTATCATGGCTTTCAGTCAATGATCTGATAAGAATTTTAGTGTGCATACTGCAACATTTGACAGTAGTCACAAGTATGTTGACCCTAAATTCCTTTGCGGAATTTTTTTTCTGTTGAAACCTGTCTTCTATGTATATAAGAAAAGTCTTGAGTACATTCATAAATGACATGACAGTTTCCCATTTCTCTTAATTAGTTCACTCTTATGTGAACTAATAAACTTAATAAATCCTTGAGGTAATCTCTTCATCCCCTTGTTCTCTAGAGCTAAGGTCTTTCAATCCTTGACAGAGTAGCAGTATTGTCCTAGGTAATGAAAATTTTTATAATATTTAAGTAACCTTGCAGTGAACATACTTTTCATTCAAGGCTGCAGAACATTACTCATGATGTGTGCATTTTTATAATTTCTTTTCTGTAAGTGGACAGTATGTATCATTTTTCCATGTCCTGTTCCTCTACATGAGAGTAATGATTTGGAATATTTTCTTGCCCAGTGCTTCATACTGCAGAACATTGGTTCTTTTAAAGAGAAAATGGAAACTTTTGTTTCAAGTGATAGTAATGAGACTTGATTAGGGTCCTATTTTAGCTGCTAACAAATCTCAGAAAAAAAAAAAAACAAAAACATTTTATGCATATTTAATGCATGGTTATTGTAAAGGAGGGGATGCAGAATCTACCAGATGCCTAACATAAGGTCCCAATAGTCCTGTGAGGCTCATGAAAAAACACCACTTGTCAATAAATATTCTCAAGCTAGCAGAAAATAGAGTTGATCATTAACTTGAAAAAAATAATTCAAGTAAAATATTTTTGGAGTTCCTGGTCTACTTATCTGTATTAACTTTAAGGCACTTGTCACCTAGATAAAAAAAAGTGGTATTAACACAGACTTTATTCTATCTTGCAGAACTTTTGAAATAGATTAACTTTCCAGTCTTGTGCCAACTTGCTCAGTAGTTGTGCTAAAGTTCAGTAACTTCTATATGCAAAAGGAATGCCATGAGGGAATGATGAAGGAAACCTCTGGAGCTGTATCCAGCTTAGCAGTAGAGTTTTGTTACGTCTCTGCAGAGTATTTCTACATCTGTATGGCATCTGCATGTGACATGAGCTGTTTTGGTACTTACAAAAGTGGCCATAGTGCTGTTGAAATCTAAAAGTAAGCTTTCTGGGGTTTCCTGGGGTCTCATCAGGTCGGTAGTGACCTAGTCAATACTGGCAGCAGATTCTGAGCAACCATCCCACTCACTCACCAGCTATTAGTGTTTACTTTGGGTAATACAGACAGGAATGCTTTTGTCTGCCTTTTCCATTTAAGTAATAATGATTTAAGTTTGATATATGCAGGAGTTAAAATATTCTGTGGCATCAACAACTTGTTTCTAGAAGGAGAGTTAGTTCTTTAAGCCTACACTCATTCCCCTATAAAGGAACAAATCCATTAAAGTGGCATTGTTTGATGGACTCCCCGATGACTTATTCAGTAGTAACTTTGCAGGACTGGTATATTTCCTCAGCACTGCAGAACGTGGTTTGTGGAACGGCCTCTGAGGGAGCTCCATGGAGGCTCTCAGGACCTCTAGGAGGTCAGGCATTCACTGTTCTCCCACTGCAGCTCAGGGCAGCATTGAGGTACACCAGTGGTGTGCTGTGCTATGGCTCGGAGGCATTACTGGAGCTCTTGCACATTTGCTGGTGCTATCTTTTAGTAAGCTTGATCTGAAAGTGATAAAAATGTTCATTGAGAAGGCAGCATTCGCCTCTGATAGTGAATTCCTGCTGATAAGAGTGCCCAGCAGTCTGTTGAGTAGGTAGGCAGAGCTGAGCTCTGCACTGCTGCAATCTAAGTGTGAGAATGGCTAGATTTACTAGAGTAAAGCTCACATATGCTTACTGATGACCACTTGCCTGCTGCATACCTGGATGCCCAATTAAGATCTTTTATACAGTGTTAAGTGCAGACTTTAAAATGCCTTTATCAAGAGAATGGTATTGAACTTTGTATATAGGTTGAAATACTGCCTTTTATCTTGTGATTGCTTTATTGAAACCCTAAATATTCAAAGCAAGTGCTAAAAAACTTAGATTTAAGTCAGCTGGAAAACAAATGTATGTGAATTCTTAAAAACAAAAGAAAACTTCTAGTGGCAATTACTTCTGACAGTATAAAATTTTCTTTCCAAAGGTAGTAGTGAAAAAGCCAGGTCTTGACTAAAATGAATATTTTCTCTTGTGTAGAAGTTGTTTAATTGAGAAGGCTACTCAAAGTGTGCTGTTTCCCTGGCCTTGCTCCTCTTGCTTTGCCCTTTTTACCATACACAGTCAGTGGTGTCTGCAGAACTATGGGTTCCAACCCCTAATTCTGTTTATACAGAGGAGAAACTTCTATATTTTCATCAAATGGCATCCCTGCATTTCAGAATTTAAAATGATGCATCAGACTCTGAGCAGATAAGGGCTTATTTGATCTTGAATTGACATCTTTATATCCCCAAAACCAGGGCATGTGTAGTCTGTGTATTGAATCTTACAGAGAATTAAATTTTGGCTATGAATGGTCTAATTGTATACTGTTGATCAAATTGCTCGCCTGAAACTAGTAAGTTTCATCCAGATGTTATAGTTCTTACGTTTATATCGTTTGCATTGTTATGATGCAAACTTTATTCTTTATAGTGTATCTTTAATGAGATGTATGAAATCAGATTACACATAATGCAACCTCCTGAATTATTTCAGTTCTTCTGAATTAAATGTTTTTATTATCATGCTAATGCATCCATACTACTGCACTTCAGAATGGAAACAATCAAGGTACAGTCTTATTAGCTTGTCATATAGCAATAAAAGTTATATGGTGTTCATGGTGTTTTCTTGAGAATGTATTCCTGGGTTTATTAATCTTTTCAATCTGCACATGCAGTTTTTTAAGGGCTGAAAAAAATCTAGTTTTCTCTTTGTGAAATTGTTTCCATTACATAATAGAAGTAACCCATTGTCCCTTAAAGTAGAGGGCATTACTTCGGGGTTTTTTCCACAATTAATAAGATTAAAAATGTATTCTCTTAAATTAGTGTGTGTTTTCCAGAGATATCCTTAGAGAGCACAGAATTTCCAATTCTTTGGGAAAATTTCAAGACAACAAGAAATAGTGAATATATATGAACTTACTGAACATGAGAAACTCTGAAAACTTTGTGTTTATCTTGGGTATTAAAATACGTGATTCTATATTAATGAAGAAATTGTAGGTGGGGTTCAAAGCAGTATTTCTTTCAGGTGTTTTTCCTCCAGATTTTTACTCAAATGACTGAATATCCTTGCAAGTATTTAGAGAGCTTTATTTTACTTTGTTTTATTTCCAAACCTGGATCTTTATTTCCAAACCTGGATCAATCTTGACAAAAGCTAATCTAAAATATATTTCTTTCATCACTGTTTCTCTGAATGTATATAATCATCAAACTAGAATTAGCTTTTGCTAATTTCAGCCAAATCATTGCATATATTTAGGTTTATGTTTGGGCTTTAGGTGCCTTTGTGATAACCTTAAATTCTTTTTCTGAGACAATGTCTTTGTTGAGCTTCTCTCTCTGATCGATTTATAAGGATACAGCATTGGAGATCACATCAAAAACCCTTATAAATTTGAGGAAGAACATACACTCTTCTTGTGCATTGAGACAGGCTTCTCTTTTTGCAAGACCACAAGTTGGTGCTCCTTGTCTTTACTAATCCCGTGCTTATTTTGTCCCAACTGACTTTTTTTCATATCTACATTGTAATAATTTTTAGGGGCCTCTCCCACATAATCTTGTAGGAGCTGATGTGAGACTGACTGGGCTGGAGTTTCTAAAGTCTTCCTTCCTTGCAAGATGCTCATACTCTCTTGTAAGGGCCTGGCAGGATTGGGGTTTTGTTGATTTCGGGGTTGGGTAGGAGGAGCATATTCCCCCACATTCCACTCAGAAATGTTCTCCCAAAATTTCAAGGCCAGATTTGCTCTATCAACCCTCTTTTCTGCTCTTTGAGACACCCTTCTGCCACGCAGTCAAAACTAGTTCAAGAATCATGCAGTCCTACCCCTACTGAGGTATATAAGTATCAGAGAAACTGTTTAGGAGATGTCATTGCACATTTTTTGTAATATCAAAAAAATCAAAAAAGTACGAAAGAATCTGCCACTGTTATTGCAGATTCTTTAGTTGATGTTCTTTAGTTGATTCTTTAGTTCTTTAGGATGAAATGCAATACTTATTTCTGTAGC